ACACACACACACACACAACACACACACACACACACCCAACACACCCAACACACACACACACACCCCACACACAACACACATCACCACACAACACAACATGCACACACACACACACACAGCACACCACACACCCACACACACACACACACACACACACACCAACACACAGCAGCACACCACACACACACACACACACACACACACACACACACACACACACACACACACACACCTCTAACCCTTCATATTGTTTCACAGAGAGCCACTGTTGAGTCTGCAGGTTGAAGTCATTACGGCGGGACATGAGTCCGTTAATCCTGATGAGGTCGAAGGTCAAACTCTGAAAATGTTTCATGAACTTCCCGTCCCCGAAGGTCACGCTAATAAAACCCATGGGTTGGATCCTGAAGTCCCATAAATAGTGATTAAGAAGAGGAGAGCTGCACCATAACTGTCAGAGTGAGAGAAGGCAGAGATCTGACACACGTCATGACCTCAGAGCAGCCAATCACACGCTACGATACCGCCAGGAAGCCAAAAGCTTCACCTCTGAGCAGCCAATCACACGCTGCGATACGAGCGACAGGAAGCCCTCCTCTCCTCTTCATCAGGAGCCCATCGGTCTTCAGAGGGAGGTCTGCTTTATCTTCCAACAGAAGAGGAGACCCTCTCCAGACCCAGCATCCTCTTCTACAGTTTAGTATTTATTTTAACCTTTTGAACTCACGAGGTCATCTGGTTTCCTTTCTGACCCTCGCTCCTGAGAGAAGGGGATCTTTCCCACGGTCCAAAGACTCTAATGCTGCGCTCACAGCTGGAGTGTCACGGCGGCTGTCAGCTGTGTGTACTCCTGTCATTCAAACAGGCCAGGGGGCGGGGCTTATCTCCATGAAGATATTACTGTAGATACCAACTACAACAAAATGGACATATTTGACCGTGATTTAATTGTTATACACGATTCAAAATGATGCCGAAGTAACAACACACTGATACCGGTTAGTAAACACCAGTTATTAATGAGTGTGTTCACGTGACAGCAGGAGAAACCGTTTGAAATGCGTGTTTTCTGAATGGAGATCGGATCGATCAGGCTAAGCTAACGTTGTATGTCCACACTCACAACAACAGCCTATACAGACATAAATAAAGCAGCGACTGTATTCTCCATGACACAGACAGTCTGTGGTTTGGACTTGTTTCACTTTTGTCTAGTTTCTGAACATATATGAGGAGCTGTGAGCTCTGAGTGCTAACAGCTAACGGCTAACAGCTGATGTTTTGGTTTTCAGTGACGACAGGCTGAGAACAAAAGTAAATCTCGCGATTGACGCGGCCGCTTCAATCGCCTCCATCCAGGTCTCTCATGGACTTCACATGCAACGCACCATGAGACTTAAATATGAAAGAAGTTACCTGCAGGTTACACACATCTCTTCTTATTCAGGTGTCTTTCTAAGAGAGAGCAGCTAAGCACGATAAGATATGTTGCATATGAAGCAACAGCCAAAAGACCGTTAGCCTAGCTTAGCATAAAGACTGGAGACAGGTGTCATGGCCTCCAAAGGACACACTACACACACTCCAAGATGCACAGACACCACGCTGTGTTTGATTGGCTCTTATGGCGCGTTTCCACTACAGCCCGGAGCACGGTTTAAGAGAGCTGTGACGTCAGCGGCCCGTCTTTGGTTGCGTTTCCACTTGGCCTAGTACCGGCCGGCGGGTCCTAATTCAGTTTTTCTGGCCTCATAAAATCGCGGGTCTAGGGCCAGAGACAACGAGGCTGAGTCGGGCTGAGTATGCTAAACTAGAGAGAGCATCGCTGGCAAGGGGGCTACAACTACAACAAGATGGACATATTTGACCGTGATTTAATTGTAATACACGTTTCAAAATGATGAAGTAACAACATACTGATACCGGTTAGTAAAAACCATGAATTAATGCTTTGTCAAGTCTGCAGACAGACGGCAGGAGAAAAACCTTTTAAAATGCGTGTTTTCTGAATGGAGATTGGCTAAGCTAACGCAGTATATGCTCCGACCGTCCACACTCACAACAACGGCCTATACAGACATAAATAAAGCAGCGACTGTATTCGCCATGACACAGGCAGTCTGTGGTTTGTACTTGTTTAACTTCTGTCTAGTTTCTGAACAGATATGAGGAGCTGTGAGCTCTGAGTGCTAACAGCTAACGGCTGTGTTGGTTTTCTGGGGTTCTCATTGAAGATGACGTCACGGCTCCGCCTACACTGCGTTACTATAGTAACTACCCCAGTTCCTAAACTGTAATGGAAATGCGCCATAAAGTGAGCCAGTCCTAACGAGGCCCTGCCATACCGAGCGAGGCCGAGCGAGGCCGTGTAGTGGAAACGCGCCATTAGAGAGAGAGATGTTGAAGCTGCTTCTTATCATGAACACTTTCTAGTCTCTTCATTTCTCTCATAACTCCATGTCTCTGTTTGCTGCAGACACTCCTGATCTGAGGCCTGACATTACATCTTTAGAGACCTCCTCCTCTCCTCCTCTCTGAGTTCCTCCTCCCTCCTCCTCCCTCCTCCTCTCTGAATTCCTCCTCCCTCCTCCTCTCCTCCCTCCTCCAGGTGAGTTCCTCCTCTCTCCTCCCTCCTCCTCTCTGAGTTCCTCCTCCCTCCTCCAGGTGAGTCCCTCCTCCCTCCTCCTCTCCTCCCTCCTCCTCTCCTCCCTCCTCCTCCCTGAGTTCCTCCTCCTCCCTCCTCCTCTCCTCCCTCCTCCAGGTGAGTTCCTCCCTCCTCCCTCCTCCTCTCCTCCCTCCTCTTCTCCTCCCTCCTCCTCTCCTCCCTCCTCCTCTCCTCCTCTCCTCCCTCCTCCTCCTCCCTCCTCCTCTCTGAGTTCCTCCTCCCTCCTCCTCTCCTCCTCTCCTCCTCTCCTCCTCTCCTCCCTCCTCCTCTCTGAGTTCCTCCTCCCTCCTCCTCTCCTCCCTCCCTCCTCCTCTCCTCCCTCCCTCCTCCTCCTCCTCTCCTCCCTCCTCCTCTCCTCTCCTCTCCTCCCTCCTCCCTCTCCTCTCCTCTCTCCTCCAGGTGAGTTCAGAGGGAGCTTACCTGGATGGCGGCCAGGTTCTTCTGCTCCTGAGACGGCGCCTGGTGCACGAAGCGCAGCCAGTTAGCGTAGCGCGGGTTGCTAGCATCCAGGATGTACAGCACGTCTCCTTTACTGCTACGCACCTGCAGGACAACAACAACAACAACAACAACAACAGGGATTATTCTGCTGCCTTCGTGTTCCTGCATCAAAGTGTGTTGTTCTCAGATGTGAACGTCCTGTGCTGCTGCTGATAGCACAACATGAGGACTCTTTAAAGAGACCTGAGGACTCTTTAAAGAGACCTGAGGAAAGAGACCTGAGGACTCTTTAAAGAGACCTGAGGAAAGAGACCTGAGGACTCTTTAAAGAGACCTGAGGACTCTTTAAAGAGACCTGAGGAAAGAGAACTGAGGACTCTTTAAAGAGACCTGAGGAAAGAGACCTGAGGACTCTTTAAAGAGACCTGAGGACTCTTTAAAGAGACCTGAGGAAAGAGACCTGAGGACTCTTTAAAGAGACCTGAGGAAAGAGACCTGAGGACTCTTTAAAGAGACCTGAGGAAAGAGACCTGAGGACTCTTTAAAGAGACCTGAGGAAAGAGACCTGAGGACTCTTTAAAGAGACCTGAGGACTCTTTAAAGAGTCATGAGGACTCTTTAAAGAGACCTGAGGACTCTTTAAAGAGACCTGAGGAAAGAGACCTGAGGACTCTTTAAAGAGACCTGAGGAAAGAGACCTGAGGACTCTTTAAAGAGACCTGAGGAAAGAGACCTGAGGACTCTTTAAAGAGACCTGAGGACTCTTTAAAGAGTCATGAGGACTCTTCAAAGAGACCTGAGGAAAGAGACCTGAGGACTCTTTAAAGAGTCATGAGGACTCTTTAAAGAGACCTGAGGACTCTTTAAAGAGACCTGAGGAAAGAGACCTGAGGACTCTTTAAAGAGACCTGAGGACTCTTTAAAGAGACCTGAGGAAAGAGACCTGAGGACTCTTTAAAGAGTCATGAGGACTCTTTAAAGAGACCTGAGGACTCTTTAAAGAGACCTGAGGAAAGAGACCTGAGGACTCTTTAAAGAGACCTGAGGAAAGAGACCTGAGGACTCTTTAAAGAGACCTGAGGAAAGAGACCTGAGGACTCTTTAAAGAGACCTGAGGAAAGAGACCTGAGGACTCTTTAACGAGACCTGAGGACTCTTTAAAGAGTCATGAGGACTCTTCAAAGAGACCTGAGGAAAGAGACCTGAGGACTCTTTAAAGAGACCTGAGGAAAGAGACCTGAGGACTCTTTAAAGAGACCTGAGGACTCTTTAAAGAGACCTGAGGAAAGAGACCTGAGGACTCTTTAAAGAGACCTGAGGAAAGAGACCTGAGGACTCTTTAAAGAGACCTGAGGAAAGAGACCTGAGGACTCTTTAAAGAGACCTGAGGAAAGAGACCTGAGGACTCTTTAACGAGACCTGAGGACTCTTTAAAGAGTCATGAGGACTCTTCAAAGAGACCTGAGGAAAGAGACCTGAGGACTCTTTAAAGAGTCATGAGGACTCTTTAAAGAGACCTGAGGACTCTTTAAAGAGACCTGAGGAAAGAGACCTGAGGACTCTTTAAAGAGACCTGAGGACTCTTTAAAGAGACCTGAGGAAAGAGACCTGAGGACTCTTTAAAGAGTCATGAGGACTCTTTAAAGAGACCTGAGGACTCTTTAAAGAGACCTGAGGACTCTTTAAAGAGTCCTGAGGTGCTTGGTCTGAAAGGTAAACACGTGTTCCCTTCATCCTGCTGACTGTGTCTCTGGAGCAGGGTGGAGGAGGGTCTGAGCTGCATGCTGCACAAGGAGACGGTTTACTTCATGTTATTTCATATGCATGTTGTCATGTTGAATGAATCTGTTCGGAGAGCAGCGAGCTCCATCAGACCTCCTCCATCAGGAGGAGCAGCTTCAGAAAGGATGTACAGAAACACAAAGGTTCCTCATGAAGAAACCTCTTCACAACAACACGTGCAGCGTTTAGAGAACCTTCAGCAACTTGAGGAGACATGGCAGCGTTCTGAAACGTTCACATGTGATGATGTGTAATAATAATATAATAATATAAAAGCCCCCACCTCCCACATCAGCCGGGTGTCCAGACTCTCGTCCAGCTCCCCAGGAAGCTTCTTCTCTCCGGCAAACGGACCGAACTTCTCTCCCTTTGAGACAAACACACGGCCATTTATCAAACATGAGCACGGACATGTATAATAACACCCTGATGTAAAGTGCATATATCTGAACACATGACACCCTGATGTAAAGTGCATATATCTGAACACATGACACCCTGATGTAAAGTGCATATATCTGAACACATGACACCCTGATGTAAAGTGCATATATCTGAACACATGACACCCTGATGTAAAGTGCATATATCAGAGCATCTGAACACCTGGGACTCATTCAATGTATTTTCTGACTTTTAACATGAATCTAGAAAATGATCTGCAGTTAAATCGATAATATAAATACTCTAGTGGGGCGTCCACAGGGCTCTATAGTGTAGTAGTATGTATATATGTATATATATATATATATATATATATATATATATATATATATATATACACAGTGTATTTACTGCACACCTTTCCCCTTTCTTCCTGAAGAGCATAAAATCCAGGGGGCGTGGCCAAACTCTGTGTTGCATTCATGTTCACTACAAAGCTGCTCTCCCCACACATTTAAATAACACAACTCTGCAGACCCTGAACGCCTCACGCCTTCTTTTGAACCCTGACAGCAGTGGAGGGGGGGGGGGGGGTTAGGTATAAATCTGTCTGAGTGTATACAGAGAACTACTAGAAAAACACACACACACACACACACACACACACACACACACACACACACACACACACACACACACACACACACACACACACACACACACACACACACACACACACACACACACACACACACACACACACACACACACACACACACACACACACACACACTCCTACAGACACACACACACACTCCTACAGACACACACTCCTGCAGACACACACACTCTCCTACAGACACACACACACTCCTGCAGACACACTCCTGCAGACACACACACTCCTGCAGACACACACACACTCCTGCATACACACACTCTCCTGCAGACAGAGGAGCAGCTACGTGGCAGATGACGTCACAGCCTGCCTCGCGCAGAGCAGCAACAGAAACAGTAAAACTGAACAAACACACAGATTTTATAAAGAGTCCCGGATGTAAAGTGGTCTCAAAGTGTCTCTCTAAGAGTCCCGAACCTTTCTGACCCTCCTCGCGGTGAACAGCCCGACCCCGTCCTGGACTCGAGACGCTTTCAGGGAGAACCGGTCCGGGACGTACATGCCCAGCATGGTGCCGGTCCGGGGGTCACAGGACCGGGTTCAGAGGACCGGGTCCGCGGGTCTGATCCGGGACGGAACCGGGCTCACAGGACCGGGTTCAGAGCACCATGTTCCGGGTTAATAGCGCAGATTCGGTCCTCCTCAGATCCGGGTCCTGCTGTCCTCCTGCTGCTCACAGTCGCTCCTGATTGGTCCAAAGTTTGTAACCAGAGGATACCTGCCGGAAGTGCCTGCAGACACCAATACTGCAGAAACACTGTATACTGAATACTCTGAATACTGCAGAAATATACTGCAGATACACTCTGAATATATACTGAATACTGCAGAAACACTGTATACTGAATACTCTGAATACTGCAGAAATATACTGCAGATATACTCTGAATATATACTGAATACTGCAGAAACCCTGTATACTGAATACTCTGAATATATACTGAATACTGCAGAAACCCTGTATACTGAATACTCTGAATATATACTGAATACTGCAGAAACCCTGTATACTGAATACTCTGAATATATACTGAATACTCTGAATATATACTGAATACTCTGAATCTATACTGAATACTCTGAATATATACTGAATACTGCAGAAACACTGTATACTGAATACTCTGAATATTCTGTATATAACATGAGACATGTGCACAACAGTTACTTTGCACATCTTTAACCCTGTGAGGCCCACGGTTGTAATTTTAAACATTACATTAAGCTGTCCTAAAGACTACATTGACATAAGTCCTTCTGTTCAGCCTCACCATGCTACTGGGTAGTACATGTGTGTGTAGGTCCTTCTGTTCAGCCTCACCATGCTACTGGGTAGTACATGTGTGTGTAGGTCCCGCCCTCTGGAGCATACTCTCACACAACTTCCCAATCTTCAAACGAGCAACATCTCCTTGTGTTATTGGACTGGATGTGTCAGATAGTCAGATGCCTCTGTGATTATTACAATGTCTAGAACATGTACATATTTAGTTTTTGTGGAATACATTCATCAAATGTGATTTTGAGCAGCTTATGTCTTTGTTGTAATAATACTGGGTCAGTGTGGTAGTCAGAATAGCATGAGCACCTGGCATGGACCCCGCCCTCCTTATATGTTCACATGTGGAAATAAAACACTAATAGAAATATAATGTCTTTGATAATTCACTATAACTAAGTTCTAAATGTGTCCTCTGTTAAAATGTTGAATTAAGACCAGAATTGAATAAATTAACATTATTTCTGATAAAAGTTTGTGAAATTATATCTCTAACAATATTTTAAACTCTACATGTATCTTATCAGTTAATTAGTTACAATACATTGAACTCTTCTCTGGTTCTGCAGACACAGTTCTTTCTGAGATGTGTTGGGACACTTGGACGTATCCCTTTTAGTATGATGATTAGCCTGTTAGCATTAGCCAGACTGCATTGTGTGACTTGTTGAGCTGGTCTACCTGCATGTGTGGGTGGAGGTATTGCTTTTATTATGATAATAGGCTAAGCCAGGTAGTATCGTGTGATTCACGTGTACAATGTAAATAGGATTCAGATGCTTGTTGCATCGGGACACCTGGAAGGGGGGGGGTGCATGCATTCCTTTTAGTATGTTAATAGGCTAAGCCAGACAGAATGAACGCTTATCCCACCACCCTATCTATTCCTTCAGGTAATCTATTACAATATAATAAGCATATGTATTATTGATACATATTTATGAATGACTTTTTCCATTCCAGAATGCCACCAGCAAAGAGAGGTCCTCGATTCAGTGTGCAGGATGTGATGCCATCCAAAACGGAGAAAGTGGGTGAGAACTGGAATCTCTGGAATGATCTGTGGCTTTGAAGTGTACCGAGGCAGTGCCAATGGGATACGAGCCAAGTCTGAACTTGGATTGTCGGGTGATGTTGTGATGAAGCTTGCCTCCACGCTTCCAGAAGGTCAGAACTACAAGATCTACGCAGACAACTACTTCACCTGTGTGCCATTGGTAGTGAAGCTCCTTGATCGTGGGATTCATTATGTGGGAACAGCCAGGCAGGTGCGCTGACCCAGCTGTAACCTTGAAGAGGAGAAGAGCTTGAAGAAAAAAGGGAGAGGAAGCTTTGACATCCGAGTGGAGGCCAACCACAACATCTGTGCTGTCAAATGTTATGACAGCAGAGCGGTCACACTTGTCTCATCCTTTGCTGGACCACAGCCTGTGCAGAACATTCAACGCTGGGACAAAGCCAACAACACCTCAAGGTTCAAGGTTCTTTATTGTCAATCTGACATAGCTACAGAGTAATTATGTAGTTGAAAATCTTATGTCACAGGCTTCTCCAACAATGCAACATAATAACATAACATAATAACAATAAGAGCAAGAGCAATACAAAAATAATAATAGTTATAAAAATGAAATAAAGTTATGATGTGGAATAGTGCAGTATGAGTCTATATACAAGTTATTGGAATGATATATATATATTAGGTATTAGATACATACTACTGAGTAGCAGTTGAATGTTTGATGTTGTTTCAACAGTTCAATTGTTTAACAGTCTCACTGCCCGCGGGAAGAAACTGTCTCCGAATCTTCTTGTCCTTGCCAGGATGCTGCGGTAACGTCTGCCAGACGGCAACAGAAAGAACAGTTTGTGGCTGGGGTGATGGGGGTCTTTGATAATCCGTAGTGATTTCTTCCTGAGCCGCTGGGAGTAAAGGTCCTCCATGGATGGCAGCTCCGTCCTGGTGATGTGCTGTGCAGTTTTCACCACCCTCTGTAAAGCCTTACGATCGAGGTCGGTGCAGCTGCCGTACCAGGCCGTCATGCTGCCAGTGAGGATACTCTCTATCGTGCACCTGTAGAAGTTGCAGAGTATCCTGGAATCCATTTTGAACCTCCTCAGCCTGCGGAGGAAGAAGAGCCGCTGTCGAGCTTTCTTGGTGATGGTGGTGGTGTGAAGAGACCATGTCAGGTCCTCAGTGATGTGGACCCCAAGGAACCTGAAGCTTTTGACTCTCTCCACCGTAGTCCCATTGATGGCGATGGGGGCGTGTCCCTCTCCCTGCTGCTTCCTGTAGTCCACAATCAGCTCCTTTGTTTTGCTGATGTTGAGATGGAGGTTGTTCTCCTGGCACCAAGATGTCAGGTTTTCGACCTCCTCTCTGTACGCCGTCTCGTGGCCGTCTGTGATCTGGCCGATGACGGTCGTGTCATCAGCAAACTTCACGATGGTGTTGGAGCTGTGTGTGGCCACGCAGTCGTGGGTGAACAGGGAGTAGAGGAGAGGGCTGAGCACGCAGCCTTGAGGGGCTCCGGTGTTAAGAATCAGGGTGGAGGATGTGATATTTCCCACCCGCACTGCCTGGGGTCTGCCCGTCAGGAAGTTCAGGATCCAGTCACAGAGGGCGCTGTTGAGCCCGAGGTCTCTGAGCTTGATGGCCAGCTTGGAGGGCACAATGGTATTGAATGCTGAACTGTAGTCAATGAACAGCATTCTCACATATGTGTTCCTGTTCTTCGGGTCCAGGTGTGAGAGGGCAGTGTGGAGGGTGAGGGCTATGGCGTCGTCTGTGGACCTGTTTGCTCTGTAGGCAAACTGCAGGGGGTCCAGAGATTCAGGGAGGGAGGAGGTGATGAATAATTTGACTAACCGCTCAAAGCACTTCATTATGATGGAGGTGAGTGCTACTGGGCGGTAGTCGTTGGGGCAGGTGATGATTGTCTTTTTGGGGACAGGAATGATGGTGGAGTGTTTAAAACATGTGGGGACTACAGACTGCAGCAGGGACCTGTTGAAGATGTCTGTGAACACCTCTGCCAGCTGAACTGCACACACCCTGAGAACACGGCCAGGGATGCCATCAGGTCCAGGAGCCTTGTGTGGGTTAACACTTTTAAAGGATTTACACACATCTGCCCTATTTAAAACAAAAGGGCAGTGTAGCTCCTGGTCCCTCTGTACCTCCACAGCCCGGCTGCTCTCAAAGCGTGCAAAAAAACTGTTTAGCTCGTCTGGGAGAGATGCGCACGCAGACACTCCCGCAGCACCCCCCGCTGCTCCTTTGTAGTCAGTCATTGTCCTTAGTCCCGCCCACATATTCCTAGTGTTACAGCCTTTGAAGTCAGATTCCACCTTGTCTTTGTACTGTCTCTTTGCATTTTTAATTGCTCTCCGGAGATCATACCTAGACTTCCTGTACTCCTCCAAATCTCCCGCTGTGTGCGCGAGAGTGCGCGCTTTCAGTTTGCCGCGCACCTCACCGTTTACCCAGGGCTTTTGATTTGGGAATGTCCGTACAGAAACCTTCGGTACCACGTCATCGATGCATTTCCCAATGTAGCAGATGACAGTGTCCGTGTGTGTGTTGATGTTATTGTCCTCAAACACACTCCAATCCGTAGATGCAAAGCAATCCTGCAGTGCTGAATCTGACTCCTCGCTCCATCGTTGTACTGTCCTTGTTACCGGTCTGTCCCTTTTAAGTTTCTGCTTGTACGCAGGCAACAACAGTAGTGAGATATGGTCTGATTTGCCGAAGGGAGGGCGAGGGAGAGCCTTATATCCATTCCGGAAAGGGGAATAAACATGGTCCAGTATGTTTCCCCCGCGCGTCGGGAAGTTGATGTGTTGGTAATATTTTGGCAAAACCTTCTTCATGTTGGCGGTGTTGAAATCTCCGGCCACAACGAACGCCGCATCTGGCCGTGAAGTCTCGGTTTTATCAATAAACCCAAACAGCTGATCGAGTGCCGTGTTGTTGTCGGCGAGTGGCTGCGGCGGGATATACACTGCTGTTATCACAACAGATGTGAATTCCCTCGGCAGATGGAAGGCCCGACATGAGATCATGAGGTGCTCTAGCTGTGCGGAACAGTCCGATGAAATAATCTTCACATCTGAGCACCAGTTGTTGTTAGTCATTACACACACACCGCCTCCCTTACTTTCCCCGAGTTAGCAGTCCGGTCCTGACGAAAAATAGAGAATCCATCAGGGACAATGGCGGAGTCCGGGATAGCGGGGTTGAGCCAAGTCTCAGTGAGAATTAACACGTTACAGTTCTTAATGTCCCGTTGAAAAGCAATCCGGCTTCTGAGTTCATCTAGCTTATTTTCAATGGATTGAACATTAGCCAGAAGAATACTCGGAAGAGGGGGCCG